GGGGGGGGGGGCCCGGGGAGCGGCAGACAGAGCAAGCCGGCGACGCCGTTGTCGCCGTCGGACGCACACGCGCGCACGCGACCCGGCAGGGCCGGCCAGCCAGCGGCCAGATTCCAAGCGCGGTCACGCGATTCCAGGCCCCGGTCGACGGGGTAAGGGGCTGCCGGTTGAATGCCCCTTCGGAGTGCGCCGCGGACGGCGGGAGGGGGGGCGGGGTGTTGATCCCTGCCCCCCCCCCCGCCAGGGCGCCCCTCGGACCGGACGCGCGGGCCCGATCGGCTCGCGAACGCGGGCCCCAGAGCCGGACCGGAAATCCACTCGGGCAATAACGCCCCACGACGCGGGCCCCGATCGTTGGCTGCTCGCCCGGGCCGGCGGCGCTTTTTTCGTCGTCCCCTCTTTTCTGCTCCCCGCACGCCGGGCCCCCACCCGCCTCCCACCGCGCCGGCCCCCCGGCGGCTGGCCTGCGCGCCCGCCTCTCCGATGTCCTGCCACCGGATCGGTGTCCTCCTTTGGTGCTCTATTTCGGTGTTCCCCACAAGGGGAGAGGGGCGATGGTGGTGAGGCGGGCCGATCACTGCACGGCCACGTCCCCCCCCCCCCCCCTCTCGGCCGGCACGGGGGAGGCGCAAAGGGGCCGAGGCGCGGAGGGGCGTGCGCGGCCTCAGAGGTCGGCCTCGGACTTCTTGACGGCGGAGGCGCCGCCCTTGGCGGCCATCTCAGCCTTGGGCATGGTATCGAGCAGGTCGGCATCGGCCAGCTTGGCCGCGCCTGGGGACACCTTCCGCAGACGGCGGATGAGCTCCATGTGGAAGGGCTCGTCATTGTCGTCGTGGCCGGTGCCGGGGGCACTGGCAGCCTCGGCCGGCTTGCCGTCAGACCCCACGGGCGGGTGGATCCAAATCGGCGAGGCGGTGGACGCCTCACCGGCCGCCGGGGCCGGGAACAGAACAATTGAAGGAGTGGAGCTGATGACGAGATCTGTGTGCATGTATGTATGTATGTGTGTGTGTGTTAGCCGCGGGGTGAGTGCCTCCGACAAGGAGAACGCAGGTCAAAGGGAATGCCCGCCCGAGTGACGCACCGTTCGGCAGGGCATTCAGCTCGACGTTGAAGCGACCAAACAGAGGGATCGGTGCTCCCTCAATCGTATCCGGGCTACGGAGCTCCTCGTCAAAGGCCTTGGCGTAAGCCAGCGACATACGGCCGAACAGGGGGAGCATGGCCAACGACATGGAGTCGTACTGGGCGTAGAAGATGACCACCAGGTCACTGAGTGTGTGTGTGTGTGTGTGTGTGTGTGTGTGTGTGTGTGTGTGTGTGTGCGCAGATGTGCATGTGTGCATGCGCATTGAGGAGGGGGGATGGTGCAGACGCAGGTTAGGACAGGCAGGGAGCAAAAAGCCGAGGGAGGGGCGGGGGCGCACCGGTCACGCTCCGGGGCATTGACAATGTCGGCAAAGTTGTCGGCAGTCAACTTGAGCGAGTTGAACACACGTCCGTCCTGGTCCGGGGAAATGGTCTCCGAGCTGTGTGTGTGTGGGGGGGGGAGGGGAGGGAGAAGCAGGGCAAGTCGG